CTGTCTGTCTGTCTGTCTGTCTCTCTCTCTCTCTCTCTCTCTCTCTCTCTCTCTCACACACACACACACACACACACACACACACACACACACACTTTCTTTTTTTAAGTTTCTCTCTCTTTTAATTTTGTCTGCATATACGTCTGTGTGAAGGTGTCAGATCTTGGAGTTAGAGACAGTTGTGAGCTGCCATGTAGGTGCTGGAAACTGAACCTGGGTCTTCTGGAAGAGCAGTCAGTGCTCTTAACCACTGAGCCATCTCTCCAGCCCTTCACTTTCTTTCTTTGTGTTATGAAGCCCAGACAGGCCTGGAAATGACAGCCTTGAACTTCTGACCCTCCAGTGTCAGTAGACAGTGGTGCATCCCCAGCCAGATGTTGAATTTTTGATCCTCCTGCTTCAGCCTTATAAGTAGCTGGGATTGCTTGCCCACATTAGCAGGCCTAGCCTGGTTATCAGTGCTTCTTCCATCCCCTCCCCAAAGAGGCACTACCACTACCTCTCCCCCGCACTGTTCCCAGTTCCTGTTTCTTGGGATGGCAGACGCCATGGACACTAGTGACACTGTGGTGTGTGGGACAGTCCTCTGCTGTAAGCAAACTTTAGGGGGAGGGACAAGAATGTTAAGGAAGTGCAGTAGTGAGGGCACAGGAAGCAAGAGGGCTTTAGGGACAAGGAGGAGGGAGGAAGAGGTGGAAGGTTCCAGAAGTAGTGATCATCCCCTCGGTCATGAATCAGAATTATCTAGGGGAGAATGGGGTAGTAGAGAGACAATAGAGAAGGACACATTGAGGGAACCTAAAGTGGCTGCTTAGTCAGGCAGAAGTTCATGGAAGATGCAAGAGAAACAAGACTCAGTCCTGGTAGGCCTTGTGAGGAGCCCTCCACCTATACAGGGTAATGAAGGTTCCCCAACTCAGGATGCAGGAAGCCATCCAGAAACTACCAGGAGGCCTTGAACCATGTCTTGGGATTGTAGAGCATATCCGTTTCTGAAGCCGAATCTCGTTGCTGATGAAGAGAAGCCGGGGGTCACATGAGAGTTGGGAGAGTCTAGACTTGGGCCCAGAAATGCTGTGGCCTGAGTCAGGGCAGTGTCAGTGAGGGGGGAGAGTATGAACGGGGTCTAATGACCTTCAGGAGGAACAGTAAGAGGGCTTCAGGCCTGGTTGGTGGGGGACAAAGAGGAGAGCCCGGTCTCCAGCATGGTCAGCTGGCCGCAACACTCATGACAGCAAATGACAGCGTCCTTCCTCCTTCCCATTCCCTCTTTCTCCACGGACTGACAGATCCCCCAACTCAGCTTACTCTTCATCGATTATTCCCACTCTTTCTTTTTTTCTACCCCAAACATCTTCTTGGAGAAGGCTAGAGGCATTGGTGGGGAAGAGTTCTGCATGCCTCCCGACCCCACTCCCCACCTTAACCTCCTTTAAGTGGTCTCTTTTGAGTATGGGCATGGCTATTTATTTTGGGAAATTGAGCCTGAGGCCTTGCACAGTTCTGGCAAGTTTCCTCCACTCTGCTGTCTAGCCACCTCTTGTTTTTGAGACAGGCCCCTAAGGTGACCAGACTTGCCTTGAACTTGCTCTAGAGCCCAGGAAGGCCTTGAACTTGCTCTCCTCCTTCCTCAGCCTTCTGAGTATCTGAGACAACAAACCCCTGTCACCAGGCCTGGCATGAGAATGGCCTTCTGGACGGCTAATTTTCTTCCCACTCATATCTACCTCAGTAGCGTCTAGACTCTGTTTGTGACTCAGAAGGAATTAGATGATTTGAACTGGGATCCTGGAGATCAAGGAATTCTGATTACTACCTAGATGTTGGAAATGGTCTTTGGTTCTGATTGTGGGACACTCCCCACCACGTAGTTAAGAACACTGGTGTGACCAGAGAACAAAGTCGGGACCCCAGAGGAAATGTCTCTGAACTAGGTTAGGTGTGAAGGTTACATCTGCATCCCCTCTCTTTCCCAGAACACCAGCTGCTGGTTACATATGTTCTTGAGGTGCTGGGTAAGTCTGCTTTGAAGCAATCTAAAAATGATGTGGCAATTTAGGATTTACTCCTTGGAGCCGGATTTGAGAGGTCTCATTGCCTACTCTCGGGGGTAATCGTAGTAATGAGGATGCCGTAAGCAAAACCAGAACTTCTACAGCACCCAGGAAATTCCAGATCAGCTGTGGCTACTACGGTTCACTTCCCATTGGCTCCACCCTCCCCTTTCCCACTGGCTTCATCAAACTCATTCCCACTGGCTCCACCCTCCCTTCCCCATTGACTCCACCTCCCCTTTCCTATTGGCTTCATTTGCCTCTTTCCCAACTGTCTCCACCAGCCCCTTTCCCATTTCCCTCCCACCTCTTCCTACTGGTTCCATCCTTCCCTCCTTGTCTGCTCTCCGCTCACTTCCCTGGCTCTCCTTCCTCTTCTCCATCCATTAGTCCGTCTACCTGCTGCAGGTTGAGGTCAGCGGGCAGCTCCTGGTGCTCTTGGGCCCTGCGCAGGCTGTCCTGCACGCTGCCTCCCGGAGGACAGTGGCGCGTGAGTGTGAGCACCGCATCGTGAGCTCTGCGAAGCCGGGAGCTGTTGACCAGAGCAGCCAGAGCCTCCCGGCCTGGAGACAACGCGTAGTGGAGCGTGTCGAAGGGCAGGAAGACCAGAGAGCCATCAGCTAGGCCCAGCTCTTCTGCAGCTTCCAGTAGGTAGCGCTGCTCCTCGCCGCCCAGCAGCACCGAGTGCATCACCATGATCACCACTGCGGACACAAAGGCTGGCTCGCTGCGCTGCCCGTGTTGCCCGCTGTCCGCAGGACCCGCCCGTCTCCCTGCACTCTACAACGGGAGCCTACCTCTAACTCGAGGCCCGTCCCGGATCCTCCTGAGGGCCTTCCGAGCTCCAGACAGGTCTGAGGGCTGCATGGAGGTCACTAGGGCAACCGGCAAGCCCCGCGCCCTGAGTGCTGTGGACAGAGCACGTCCCGCCTCCACCCACAGGTCCTGGGGCGCGGTGATCAGGGCCACGCGCGCCCAGCGGAATGCTCTAAGGAGGACGTAGAGGGCATCTGCAGCGGGGGTCACCGCCGGGGCTGTAGTTCCCGCCGCCCGCGTGCCTGGGCAGCCCCAGGGCACCAGAGCTACTCCAGCCTCCTGGGCTAGCAGTTCGGCTGGCCGGCAGGCTGCGGGGTTCACCGGACCCACCAGGCCAGAGACTCGAGCCAGCGCAGAGGACACCGCTCCTAGAGAGCCTGGGGTCAGGCAAGGCTCTGGGAGCAGCGCAACCTCGAACCGGGGGCCGCCGCCGCCGCCGTCTAGGGCAAGGTCACGGTTCAGGCGGTTAGCGGCCAGACGCGCAGCCAGATCTGGGCGGGCCCGGGCGAAGATGGGGTCGCAAGCCCAGGGGCCCAGGACCCCCACTTTGAACACGGCCGAGAGGGCAGCAGGCGGCGGGAGCAGCAGCAGGAGAAGGAGTCCGTGCAGCCGAGGCCCTGGCCAGCACAGGACCCGCGAAAGGCTGGACCAGGACTGCCACGCAGGGACGCAGAAGCCGGCGTCGGGAAGCCCACCCGCTGGCAGGAGCCACGCGGTCATTGCCCTCTTCTGTGAACACAGAGGGAGCAAGCGGAGTTGAGACCCCCACCACTCCCTCAGGGTTCTCCACTCAAGCCGGTTTTCAAATCCCTGCCAACCCAAGGGTGTCTCGGCTTCCACACACTTGGACCCTACCTAGATGGGGACAGCGCACCGCCCCAAGGCCTCTTTGGCCTGACCTGCTTGTCCCCGTTTGTTTATCCCCCCTGCTCCCTGGTCAGCATCCTCAGGTTCAGTGGGGATACTCCCACGCCCTCACTCAGGACCCGAGTCCACGGAGTGGGTCATTTACTACTTACCGGGAAGTCTCGGGCTGGGACCTGGGTAAGGGGTCACACACAGGTCGATGCCCCTTCAGTTTCCCCTGGCAGCCCAGCCCAGGGCGGGGGTGTGGGAACAGCCCTCGGCAGCCCTTAATCTCCCCAAGCCGATTAGGATCTTTTAGTCAAGCAGAGAGGGGCGGGCTGATGGAGGATGATAGTCCCTCCGGTTCTCTTGGGTGGGATCTGTGCCACCTCCAGACAGCCAGAGCTGCTTACCTGAACACACGCGGAGGGAAAGTGATAGAATCGGGTCCGTACCGCGAGCAAAATGTCAGGTTTTAGATTTACACGTGGAAATCAAAACTTTATTTATTTTTCAGTTGTCTGCAAAAATTGAATCAGGTAAGAATCATTCTTGGAGCTGGGCGGTGGTGGCACACACCTTAAAACACACACCTGGCGCTCTGGAGGTGGAAGCAGATGAGTTCAGGGCCACCCTGGTCTACAGAGTGAGTTTCAGGAGTTACACAGAGAAACCCTATCTTGAAAAACCAAAAAGAATAAAAAATTAAAAAAGAATCATCCACAGATACTAAAGCTAGGTGGAAAATTTGAGGACCATCAGGATTTTTTGTTTTCCATGATTATAAACCATCACTCCATTTACTACTTATAGGTTGGGAGACAGCAAACTTATAATTGCTGCAATTTCAATTGTAAAAAAAATATTTATAGCTAGGTGTAATGGCCTTTAATCCCAGCACAAGGAAGCAGAGGGGGATCTTTGTGCGAAGTCAGCCTGCTCTACCTAGAGAGTTCCAGGACAGCCAGGGCTACAGTAGACCCTGTCTCAAAACAATTGTTTTATTTTATATGTACGTGTGTGTGCCTGAGTCTATGTATGTGCACTACAGTGTGCAGGGGCCGATGGGGGTCAGAAGAGGCATCAGAACGCCTAGAACGGGAGGAGTTACACACGATTGTGAGCCACCGTGTGGGGCCTGGGAACCGACCAATATGTAAGGTTCTGAGCTGCTGAGTGATCTTTCCAGGCTTGTAACTGATGCAGCCCCTCCCCACCCCTTGGCTGGTGGTATCCAGTCTACAGGTACAGGACATTTATTTGCCCCTTCACTGCGTAGTTCATATTAAAGTGTCCTATTTCATCTCCCATAATTTCTCTGTCTTCCTGTCATCCTCCCTCCTCCCAACTCATATGCAGTCTTTAGGGGAAAACTTTAAACCAGTAGAATTATTAAAATGCTGTAAGGAGCCTGGCGGTGGTAGTGCATGTCTTTAATCCCAGCACTCGGGAGGTGGAGGCAGGTGGATCTCTGTGAGTTTGAGGCCAGTCTGGTCTACATGAGTCCCTGGCTGGCCAAGCTGCAAAGTGAGACCCTGTCTAAAAAAACAAAAACAAAACAAAACTTCCAAGTCATAAGAAGCAGAAGAAGGGGGCTGGAGAGATGGCTCAGAGGTTAAGAGCACCGAATGCTCTTCCAGAGGTCCTGAGTTCAATTCCTAGCAACCACATGTTGGCTCACAACCATCTGTAATGGGATCTGGCGCCCTCTTCTGTATACATAATAAATAAATAAATCTTTTAAAAAAAAGAGTAGTGAAAATAAGTGTTAAGAGTAAATAAATAGTTTTTAAACACATGGGCACATATGTAAAAGAAAAATAAGGCATTTCAACATTATAAGCCAAAAGGGGAGAGGATGCACTAATCCAGGTACCAGAGGAATTGTAATGGTAAAATGTTTTCCAAGCAGCTACTCAGTGACCTAAGATCTTTCCATATAAGATCTTTGCCATATTTCTTAAATGTCTTACTACCCATTAAAGAGCCATACTGGGGAAAAGGTTCACATGAAATTTGAGGGCATGAACTATATCTAGTAATAGCAGTGGTCAAGGAGATGGAATGCCTACTGTATTAAGCAAAAATGAATGATCAGTATTCAAAAAATTAACAATATCTATCTCTATTACAGTGTCTAGATACAAAGAATAACAGATAGAGTACAGAATTTTGACTTAGAAGGAAATTATACTACCACATATGTAACTATGGCATGGAAAGGAAGTAAAAACCACAATAGCAATGAAGCCCAAATGATTTCAAGAAGACTTTTATTGTGGATAATATTTTTGTAAACTGATATATGGAAGAAATCTTAAGCTGTGTTTCATTTACTGTTTTCAAATTGATAAAGACAATAATTTTTTAATTCTTGATTCCAATGTCTTTTAAGAATGATCTTTGT